GATTTATAGCAGTTTTAAAGACTTATAGCAGTTTGTAGCAAGTATTTATAATAAAATATCAGATTCATTTTTTATTCATATCGGGATTTAGCCGAAGGTGCTGTACATATTCACATGCATGTAAATCAGTTTCTGGATCTCGGGGGTTTCCCGATATATCATAATTCGGTTATAATGGCTAAATTATTCTCAGATCCATTAATCAGAGGAGTATTACGTATATCATATCATCACAGGAATCATCCTAGCTCCCTGCCAGTTTCCACGATAGTTCTAGGAGAGTTCCAGTTTCTATAAATCACGAGATGATCGGCTGATCAGGTTTCAGTTTCTTTTCTTTAGCCGGATAAGCATAACGGGAATTTGGGAAATTGGTGTTCAGCAAAAAACACTATTTTTTCTAACTGCTGAGCCTGGACACCATGTCACAAGGGCGCAGTATTATGTGGCACAGTAACAGTAATTATCTACGGAGCATTTTATATTTTAATGTCATAGATGATAGTGAAAAAGTTTTAACTTAATGATGCTGAAAGCCAGAGAAAAAATTTTGCCAAGATTCTGATCGTTACCAATGGTAACGGTACATTGTAAATGCACAGCCACAAAAGCCCGAATCAATAAATAACATTTATCTAAAAATCTCATGTATGCATGTACCGTTTAGAAGAGCGAAATCTTTATTAACTAATGCATTACTTAAGACAAGTACTTTTTACAATTAGTAATCCGCTATTTCAGTTAGTACAGATTATCTAAAATTCCGAAAGGATCTTGTTTTTGTTTTTTCACAGAAGGAGGGGAATCTGTGGTACTGTGTAAAGGCGATGATGGTGGAGATGGCGTATTTAGTCGTTTTTGAGCGATTGTTCGTATTTTCTTAACCAGATCTATTAATGTGTGCTATTTAGAATTTACAGTATAAAGATCAGTGAATACCAGTGATTTGACGGAAAAATGTGCCATAGCTATACATACTCGTAATGCTAAAAGATTCTCCAGAAAATCTGGCAAAAGGTCTTCCATGTCTGAGAATGTCGTAGGGAGTATAAGTGTTGCCATCTCAACGAAAAAATAAAAGTTCTGCGAATTATCGTAGGAAAGGGAATAAATAGTCCATCTTATACCTATATAACATGAGTAAAAATTTTAGTTGAAAAAAAAGTGAATGCGTTGCGTAACCCTAGATGGCTTTCACCTACCAGTAATTTGGATGCCAAGAGCGAAAACCTCTTCTAGCTCTATTTTCTTGAAATGTAATTTGCCCCACAACGTATCTAAGCAATCTTTCATCACCACTTTTAGTTTTGAATGATCCTTACGATATTTCGTATCATCCATTGGTCCTGAGGTATTACCCACTTCAAGTGGTAGGAGTTCAGCTTGATGACTTCGCAATGAGATGATTAAGTCCATTTTTTTCATTTCGGGAGTAAGCGTAACGTATTCTTCGTGTACATCCTTTCGTTTTCGATTTGCGACACTACGAGACTCCTTCTCGATCCTAGTCATTTTTGGTTAATATTACAATAAACAATATACGATGTAAAAGATATCATTATTTACCAGTTAAGCTCAAAAGTACCAATATCAAACTCTTCTAAGAGAGTGCTAATTATCTGGCCAAGAATCTTGACAATAAAGTCCCGTTCTCGATGTTGCATGATGAGGACATTGATTTCTCTTCGTAAACAACGATGGCTAAACAGAATTCAGTCAGTATTTGCAAAGATCCAATGTTAAAGTTTTTAAAATATTAACTTACAAAAAATCGACTATTTCGATGATTAATTGTGAATCTTCAGATGAAGTTTTTAAGTTTACAAACTTATTCTTCCACGTTATTAGATCATTTAATGACCGCTACCAATATCATTAATAATTGAGTGGATTGTGAAAAGCAAGAAATTATTTAATATATGACTTACAATTCGGCCAGTTCCATAATGTAGTAATTCCTGCACATCATTGTTAATCTTGTCTTTAGAAAGCTTTTTTCTTGATTTAATGAACAATTGCGAATAATCAGACGCCTTAAGGATCCTGTTCCACTCAATTTTAGTCCAAACTGAGAGATCCACAATTCGGGATTCGATTGACCTGGAAGTATTTAGAGACTAAGTAAAAAACACACATTATTTGTGAAAAAGCAATCACAATAAAATACTGCACACGCAAGTTATCTTTTTTTAATCGTTCCATAACCTTTATCCAAATTTCTTCGAGATTTAGGTTTGAGAAAAGCAAGGCAGATACCTACAATTGCCATTGAAAGACGTCAGATATCGATAAAATGGTGGTTAAAATAAGAGATGGTGTTCTCATCATTATTACCTTGTTTGTAATGATTTTGTCGATTTCTGCATCATCTAACTCCTGGTCCTCTTGATCGTTAGCTTGTAAACTACTTGACGTTTGTACAGCTTCGGGAAAAGTTGCTACCTCTTTCGTGGGTGACATTGATGTATCATTTGTATTTTCTCTAATTTCTCTTTTTCGAATATTTTGTAGAAGGTTTGTCATTTTCTGGGAGGAAAAAATATCTTTTTCTACGTCCAATATACTTTTTTCTAGTTCTTTAATTCTTTCAGCAAGCTGTAAATCGAAGTTTCGTTCGTAGAAAGTATCATACCATTGTTCGCAACTTTTTAGAACAATAGAACCTTCGAAAGTATTATAAATGTTTAGTAGTTCGTTGCAAAATCCGCTTATACATCCCGGAACCTTTTTATAAGTGTTATTTTTGATAATTCCTAGTGATCTCTTCCAATCCTCATAAACCGTCAACCAGGGTAAAATTATACTTTCATTTTTCAAACGATAATTTAGATAGTGTTTCAACTGCCAATTTTGGGCCTCGACTTTCATAAAGTAATCATTCACGTCTTCTTCTCTGTTAGATACCACAAAGTTGAAGTACTTGTTGGTTCTTAATACTGCAGTCATGTCCGAGTGATGTAAAAAAAGTAGAAATAGAACGCGTAAAAATTACAGACGTAATCTTAAAGTTTCACAAATCATGTGACTCATTACTATTACGTTCACGAGTTATCAGCCCAAATTTTGATGCAATTGTGCTGAAACACCATAGCTTCATGACGGTCCAGGCATTGGCGGTGAAGTTATGAATTTGCTTGAGACTAACAACTGTTCATGTCGGTCCAGGCATTGGCGGTGGCAGTTGATCTACTAACTTTGCTGAAGTTCCTCGCGACGGTCCAGGCATTGGCGGTGAGGACCTTCCCTCGTATCTTTAGATACTTAGGAGACGCCATAACTCATGTCGGTCCAGGCATTGGCGGTGAAGTTATGAGTTAGTGATATCCAAGTTATCTCTTGGTAGTCGTCAAGAGAAAATATGATCAAAAATATGCGAAAACGCATTACTGTCTTAATATTTATTTTTTGTATATCTCACAAAACCCGAAGCTTTAATTTTTAAGTAAAAAAAATGAATAAATGAAATAATATAATGATGCTATCAAAGAGGGAGGGAGTACGCGGATCCTAGGCCATTTAATGCGAGTTCCAGCATAAGTTATTTCTTTTCTCTCACTTTTTTGAAAAATATCTATAACTAATTTATTTCTTCTATCAGTATAGCTAACTACGAGATTCAATATTGATGATGTAAATTATGGTAAGTTTGAATGTTTGGCTTAATTTTTCGTTTTTTTTTATTTGCACAAGGCAGATAAATGGATTCACTAACAGGGTCATCGCCATTTTATACAATTCACAGGATCGATTTTGTTATACACTTTTGGGGGAGATTACATTAATATGATCGCATCACGAAAATCTGATCAACCGCTTCTCCTTAATTTAACAATAAGAAATTTAATGCTATCCATATGTAAAGATCATCAAGGGGCCCTTTTTTAATAATAATATACGTAAGAATTTTGAGAATATACGAAAAAGTTTGAGAAATTATTTTGCGCAATTACTTGTTCCCGTGATACATGTGACGTTTACTATATTAATATTACTGCGCATTTATCGAGTTCTGGATCAATGATTTCGTTACAATAAAACTTGATCGAAAAAATATTAGCATACATGCTTCCCACAACCCATAACTAGTAAATTTGGCCCTTATTGCGTTTTTGCTTTATTGATCATATGAGAAAAAAATACATAATACAGGCTACATGATGACACTACTTCAAAATAAAATGATAAAAAAATTTCATATGAGCGAAGCATTATACTGCTGGCCCATCCGTGATGCTAATATGATTTTCGAAATCCTAAATGAAAAAATTGTCTATTAGCTTGTTGCTTCCTTGCAAATGCATAACACAACCAAAAGTAAATCCATCTTAACATAAATGTCTTGTCCGGAAGTTTCCACTCCAGTATTTTTTTCGCCGGCACCTTTTCATACTGCTTATTCAGAAGATATGTACTGTATTTGGAAAAAAAATCTTTCATCACAGTCCCGATATCTGGGTGATCGAACTGGCCTATGCTACGATCGCGAATTTGAATTTATTGCTTGAAGTGTTGCAGGTAAGACGATATTCCAACTCATCTTGGGAATATAACTTCGCTAATTCAGGATCATAAGGAAGCTGATTCCCATTTTTGCGGTACCATGAGCCATGTAATCCATAATTCCCATGTTTTCCATCGCAAATAGGATATGGTGAGCTCCACGGCTGAGGTGATGCAAAATTATAATTATCAATCCCTCTGAAACAATTTCGGAATTTCAAGTATGTGAAATGCTCTAATACGGATTTGATAATTAATTCTGGATTGGGTCTGGCTTCGAAAGTGATGGGCCCTTTTTCTTCACATGGCTCAGGAAAAGATAAATATGATACTTTGTTTCCCAGCATCGAATTTATGACTTCCAATGCATATACTTCTGATAATTGCCATGGCTCATGATGTTGTTTCTGGAAGATTTTTTATTGTAAACAAGTCCTTTGAATTTGTGCGTAAAGTAATTCTTTTTGTTCTTCTAACAGTGTCAAGAACATTGGTTATATCTCTCTGCAATTGTTGGAAATAATCAGAACCGAAATTTGTAAGAAAGAAATTTGCCAGCAAAATGACAATACAAGGACATACCTTTAAACATAGAATGTCTTTTAAAGTCGCGAGGCTATCCGGAATACTACCCCACGTAGTACTGATGCGATACATAATGAAGGTCAGCGTCATAATACATTGCGTAAATTTTTCCATTTAGACCTTTATTGAATATAAAGAATGGTTTTAGCCAAGCGTGAAAGTTAATTGATATAAGAATCTCTCCATTGCTTCCTATAACTACCTCCTTGATTTATTCCATGTATAGTAATATTCTTTATTTCACTAACGGTTTCCCATGTAAAATTTAACTTCTTTAAGAGGCGGTCTAGCTGATCTTTTATTTCTCGGAAAAGTTTTTGCTTGTAGGAAATCGGTTTCGAGTTCTGTGGATCTTCGTCAACGTACGTTTCGGAACCAAAGTATTCCATGTCATCGATACGAAAGAGAATGTCAATTTTGTGGCCATATTGTTTTCTTTCCGATTCTTCACGTGATAAGTTTTTACGCTCAATGGATGCCAATGACATCTCTTCACCCCTGAAAATAAAGAGGATAATTAAAAGCTAAGAAATCAACTATCACATTAAATATTACTAGGAAAGAAATTTCATACCGATGTACTTGAATTTCTTCGCATGTCAAGAAGCAGTCATCGATTAATGGAGTCAAAATATGGCAGTTCAGCTAACCTTCTGAGTTTTTATTTAGGAGTGGGTTTCGTGGAGCCTCAAAAAAAGATAACCTATATAATAACAGGTAAGATGAAGTAAGTCTTTAACCTAAACAATGCAAAATGACATCTATAGAAACGAAAACCAAATACCCACAATTTGTTGGCGAAGCAGTGGACCCAATTCATTTCGTAATGTTTCAATGATTTTTTACCATTCTTAAGAAACGATTCAATCATCATTTCGAAAGAACATATTTTTTTATCGTTCTGAAAGAACGATTTTTTCATCGTTCTTAAGAAATGATTTTTTTTATCATTCTATTAGAATAATACATTATCATTCTAAAAGAACAATGATTTTTTATCATTTTTAAGGAATGATTTTTTCATCGTTCTTTTGAAACGATTCTTCATCATTCTTAAGGAAGGATACTTCATCATTCTGAAAGAACGATTTTTTCATCATCCTTTTGGAATGATTCTTCATTGTTCTGAAAGAACAATTTTTTATCATTCTTAAGTAACGATTGAATTATCATTTCTTTAGAATGATATTTTACATCATTTTATTAGAACAATACATAATCGTTCCTTTAGAATAATTTTCTATATTATTCTTAAGGAACTATCAACTATCGTTCCTTTCGAATGATTTTTTATATCATTCTTAAAGAATAATCGAATTATCGTTCATTTAAAATGATTTTCTATATTGTTCTTAGAAACAATCAAAATATCGTTGATTTTTCAATCAGATGATACAAAATCATCCATCCATTTGTTACATTTATGATAAGTAAAAAATAATATCCTTTTTTTTCCTAGTGAGGTGATTTTTTGGCAGAAATTTAACTTTTTTTCTAGTTTTTTTAGAAAATTTTTTATTTGGAAATTAAGGTAAGTAAATCAGAAGACTTTTGTGGCATTTTCCTTTCTTTGTTTTTGTTTTTTAAGAAATTCTTATTTTGGGAATTAAGGTAAGCAAATCAGAAGTAACTTTTAACTGGTTTTTAACTCTTATTTCTTTATTTTTTCTTTACTTTTTTTTAGGAATACATTAAGGTAAGCCTTTGGAAGTGATATTTTGGTAGTTTTCTAACTAATTTCTTTTTTTTTTAGGAATACATTAAGGTAAGCCTTTTAGAGGTAGTATTTTAGTGGGTTTCTAACTGTTTATGTAACGAATTGTATTATTTTGCCTAGTGATATATCAAATAACTACTAATCATTAATGTCGTCAAATGTTTTTTTGTGTGACATCTGAATTGGGCAACATCAGCAATAACTAAAAATGCTGATTGATTTGGACACGATCAGCAGAAATTAGATTATATTTTGGCCAACATTCAGCATTTTAAAAAAGTGAAGAAATGGATTATTTTGACTAGTGATATATAGTTATAAATTTTAAAAATAAGTATAAAATCAGATTCAAAACTAATTTATGTAATTCTACCTAATAATTATGATTAAGGTATTAATTAATTCATATGGGTCGGTGCAAAAACATTTGTACATCAAACAAAGGCCAATAAAAAATTTTTTAACATATAAATTTTTTTTTT